CTTTTTAACTTGTCGCCCTCGAGAATATAAACATCACTATTATGCTCTTAATAATACATAAATAACTATTTCTGTGTACACATAAATAGACCTTTATATGGCCTTTCGGGAAGTATTGATCAATTAATGGAAAATGCGATAACGTTACTCGCTCTAAAGCAAAAACTTTTTTTTACCACCCGAACGTTTTACATTGGGGTAAATAATGACCCCCCCCCCTCCACTTTTTTACGGAAATATACATTTTGAAGCACTAGGAATCCGTCCGATGTTGATAGGTCTGTCGAACTGTTTGAACTGATTGGAACCAAATTTTGTACAAATATTCTTAGATATGAAAGGAAGAGCTGAAAAGCTTTTGGGCAGAATCGCGCATACGCAAGTGTGTCAGTCTCATTTCCGACTGAACGGCTGACCCGATCGAACCAAATTTGGTACACAGATTCTTACACATAAAAGGGCAGAATCGCCCATGCGCAGTTCTGCAGATGGTATCTGTGCTAGCCATAGCAAATTTGTTTAATTTTTTCCGCTTCTCTGTCCTGCTGTTCTCTAGAAACCCCACGATTATCATCGGACAAAACTTCACTCTGTATAAATATTATGTAAATAAACAATAACAATTAGGTACTCTACATTATCTGGCTATTACCGACGATATAGGAAACATATTTTGTAAAATGAACTGCACTTATAGTAAGTAAAAGCTTGAGTACAAAAATAGTGTCACTAAATTCTTTTCAGGCCCAGAACTCGTCCTCCTCTCTTGGGGTGGATAATTACGGTACAACATTGTTTATAGTTGTATCAAAGATTAATTATTTATCGACAAGAGCAATTTATTTTTAGGATTGAATAATTTATAGGAAACTAAAACGAAACAAACGGTTTCAAAAAAACAATTATGGAATTAGTTTTATCCTTCATGGTACTCTAATGAAAGGTCTGAACGAAAGGAATTAATTTCTACCAACCATAGCCCTCCTCCTCCCTTATACCTCAAGAACGGATTGTCGGAAGAGGGTACTCAAAAAGGGCGATTGAGACGTCTGCAAGAAATATATCCATTGGTGATGTCAAAACAAAAGCTATTTCGGTTTAAAATATGCGCTTTATCTGCACAAGAGTTGTGCACAATTTGTACTTGTTTGGAAATTGAGACATAAGTTTTGTAACATTGTAGTTCCAAAACTCGCCGAATAACATTCTGTAGAGCTATATGAAGTCAAGGCGAGTGAAAATTTCGGATTGTGCAGATTAAATTTCTGTTTACCTACTCAATCATGTGGAGCGACTGTTCATGTTCGGCTCATTCAAATAATACGTAATTGACTCACTGATGCAGTTTAAATTAAATTGTGTTCAGTTTTTTTACTAAACTTAAAACAGAAGAGTCATCAATCAACTACACTCGACGAAAATTTCCATAATTTCGTTGTAGGACAAACTTTAATTTACTTCTGAAGGTAAAAGAATTTAATTATATCCCGGACTAGGTTTTTTGTAAAGTTTCTATAAGAGCAATGATTAATCTAAACCCAAGACATAACACTATTAACGACAGATGCTGCCTGCTGCTTCTTCTACATCCTCCCCCTTTGCCCATCCGTTTCGCCAAGGCCCGCTTTCTTATTCCGGTCTGCTAAAGTTTCGGAATCAAAACTGAACATTCATCAAAGTATTATACAACCCCGAGGCCCCAAAATCTAGTTTAACGCAAACGAATATTAGCAGTAGTAAAGCGGCACTGACAATGTCGGAAAGGGCATTTGCATGTAAATAAGATTGAGAAAACCTTTTTTGGGAATAAAAGCAAAAGGAGAGTTATCGATTTTACGTAATGGCGACGTTAAACTGCACGTTCGAAATATGTAAAATGGAATTTAATTGGGGGAGGCATAAAGCCCTTACGAAACTGTAATAAAGGAAGTTAAAGGCGCTTGTATTAACGGACGTAGAAATTTAGTTGCTGTACACTACAGTGTAAACTTTTAAATTAGTTGAGTTTGTAAGTTACATCAAGTTTTACAAAGCCAACTTACAAGTTAAATGCACATCACATCCCTTTTCGAGTGACACCGTCAAAAGATTATTTCACGCAGCTCCCTGCGAGTGACATCAAACGCTTACAAACTTAGTATCAGTTGGACGTTTCAATTAGAAACGATTTCTGCACTCCCGCCCTCCACGTGATCGATACAAAAGGTGTACGTAAAGATTAATGGAAAAATGACAATTATAAAATTAAACGTTAATAGCGTTGATCGTTTTTTGGTTGATAAAAGGAAAAAAATTGCTTATTGTGAAACAATTAGGAAAACGTGCTGCCGTCTCTCGATTCGATTTTAATGATAACGCAATTACAACGGAACGAATAGGAATTCTTGGCGTTTGTTGCTTTCCAAAACGGGAAATATTAAAGAATCATCAATTAAATCAGAAAGCGGCAATTTTAACATTGCGTTTTTTGAATAATTTAATTTAATCTTCCAGTGTTGTAGATCTCATCTGTTTCGTTATATGGAAGAATGGAATCAAATTAAAACAATTCGAATATAATTTTAATTTCGTTTTTAGGAATACGTACTAGCAACTAATTTGCATATTTATTGTCAAGTTATCAATAATGTCAATAAGTATGCATAAATATGCAATTCATTTGGTAGCGTATTGTAGCGAATATTCTAGAAACCCGTATAAGAAACGAAAGGGGATGTGGTACATTCTTTCCGGGAAATATATCGTGTGCGTTCAAGAATAAATGATAAAATAATAATTACTCTTATAAATTAATTCACGTAATTAAATTAACGTTACAGTATTGTGGGGCACAATTTGGACAAGATGCTGTAATCTGTTTTACATTGGCGAATTTTGTACCTAAATCCGCCTGTGAACTGAATTTGGAAAATCGTATAAAAGGACAAAACATTTTATCCAGTTTAGGGTTTTAGGGTTGCTTTGAAAATTATCTCCCATTAATTGTAATTACCTTTTTTGTGGGAAACCAAATTGGAGGTTTTCCTTATTAAAACGAAGCACATGGCACTCTTTGGTTGATATACAAAAAAATGGAGAAATTCGTGATTCATATTTAGAAATTTATGAAATCTAACATGCCGTGTGGCAATAACTGTTTTGTTTTTAAGATTGACTTCGTTAATTAAGTGATCCAGCGGCATGCTACATTTCATAAATTTTCCAAATACCCAAGTAGGTAGGTAAGGGTGGGCATTATCTGGAATTCGCTCATTCATATATTATTGAGCATTTATGGAATTAATCTCAATTACCTTCATTAACTCTCATATAGGGAGAAAAAATATTTCGTTGTGGCCAACCGCACTTAATAACAGCATTTAAATGCGATACTAAGCTAATAGCACAGTTATAATCTTGAATAACAACAGAGAACCCCACAGATATAAATTAGATTTAAATTACCCCCGGAGAGAACTTTTTGTATCACAAATGATTTAAGAGAAACATATAATTTTACATCCTCTACGTATAAATTACGTTCTCTGTTTGTTTTAAAAAAAAAATAATGGAAAATTGGGTACGATGCAATGAGGACACACGTCCGTAATTATTCATTAACGCCGAATAAGGGAGACGGGGGGCGATTTGACCGAAAATCAATGTTTAGTTTCATTAAACTATTGGAAAATTAGTTTTATTCGGAAAACAATCCTAGAACGTGATGCTCGGACGTTAAGAAGCCCAAAATCACTTCTAATTCTAATATTAGGCCATTGAATTCAATTAATTTATTCCCTTGTGCGAGAATGGAACCTAATAAGTTTCGATTAGTTGAAAATCCCTTACGTGATTCTGCAAATTCTATTTTATTGCCAGATTCTGTTACTTGACTGTGGGAAGAGAGAAAGAGGTGCGTCGCAGGAATTCACTAATATTAAGCAATTTAAAGCAAGAAATCGGCTGAATACAAAATGCAACTGTAGTTCGAAATTTTAAAACGTAATTAAATAGAATAATTGAGTAGCGAGGTATAGTCTCTTACTTTAACGGTACCGACTATTCCAGGCCTATTGTTGAATTAGTGAGAGCATGAGTGGGCATTTGTCTATTTTTTCGAGAGTGATCATTAAATATTAATTAGTCACTGTTGAGATAATTAACATGGTTAATATTGCTGTGTGCAATGATATGCGGTTACTATACCATTCAACAGCCACTTATTTAGCTAGCTCAAATTACACAATTTAGTTTTTTTTCCCTCAGGGCACAACATTAAATTTGTTCCTGCGTTCTATAACTAACGTGAGAACGATTACGTTTTCTACTTTTTAAATCGCTCTCTTTCAAAATATCCCGAGACAACCCCTGTACTCTTAATTCTAGCAAAAAAACACCTTTTCTAATAAAATCAACATCATTATTCTCGACGACACTTGAAATTCTATCTACGCCGCCAGAACTGATAACCACCTGCATCGCTTATCTCCCTCCTGACATTGTTGGTCGAAAAAACAATTAATTCTTGCCCGATAACAACTTTCCATCAACACCTGACCAGATAAATTTCACATAAAAATTTCCATTAAACGTTCCTTAAGTTACCCGTTTTAAATTTATGTTACAAACTAAATATAACAAATAGAATTAAACGGACCAAATTTACATTAAGAAACTAACATTAAGAATGACAATTCAACAAGTTTTTCCAATTCTGTGTTCATTTGAAGTAAACAAATTTCCAAGACTTTAGAAATAACTTGAATCATGTTACCAACAGGACGTTTACGTTAACAACACTACAATGTGGCTGGTTCTCATCTTCGGCATTGTTTCTGTTTGTATTTAGGTATCCTGGATATATACACATATAACGGAAGGATACTGAAATACATTTATTGCAAAACTATTACATTAAAGAAACGCGTGAGCTCTTTGACTTGCATTACGCGACTGGTGCAAGTCTGCTATCAGATAACAATTTCCCAAATACATATCATTCCTCCCTCACATAACATAAGTTATTTTATTGCGAACCAGTCAGGAGGTTTTCTGTTTCTGGTTGGGCGCAACATACTTCTAGAGTTAGTTACTACAAAATCATCTGCAATTGTTTCAGCTTCCCTAATTGGTTCCGGAGAACTAGCCTTTCCAACTGCAGATTCCTCTACTACATCATCGTCAACATTATTAACAATAGTTGCATTTGAATCAACAGTCAAAGGACGTGAATAATAATCTAATAAATCGTCATCATCGTAAGAAGGTCCTTTGATTATTTGATCCGAATGTCTTCTCCAGATAAAGTTTTCGTTAGTTAATGTCTTATAGTTTCGAGGTCCGTTTTGTTCTACAATTTCTGCAGGTACCCAACTCGGTTTAGCACGTCCATAATCGCGCACAAAAACACGATCACCTTTTTTAAAATTGCCTCTCGCACTCACTTTATTACGTTTCACTTCCGCACTGTTTCTTGTTAGTCTCTTCGGATCTCTCCCTCGTTCCTCTTTACGCAAATGCTGTCGCTTCAGCTGCTCTTCCGGTAAAATGAGATCCAATCGCATGCGTAGCTTTCTTCCTATCAAGAGTTCAGCTGGAGTAACACCCGTACTACTGTGAATGCTGTTCCTGTAGTGCAATAGGAAACGGTTTAATGCCGCAAAAAGATCTGTGGAATTCCTTTCTTCCATGGCCCTTAATATATGAGTTTTTACAGTACGTACCGAAACCTCTGCTAACCCATTTGTGGCAGGATGATATGGTGGTGGTGTAATATGCTGAATTCCATTCATATATAGAAAATGCTTGAAACATTCCGACACGAATGAACGTCCGTTATCAGTTACTACGATCTTTGGCAATCCCCACCGACTAAATATTTCTCGTAGCTTATCTACTGTATTTTCCGAAGTAATGTTCTTCATATAAACAACTTCTATCCACTTCGAATGGGAATCTACCACAATCATGAACATTTTATTATGCAGTGGACCAAAAAAATCAATATGCACCCTTTCCCACGGCTGTTCAGTTTTTGGCCACTCAATCACTTCAGCTTTCGGCGGACTGTTTCTGTGTTTAGAGCAAGCTAAACAATTTTTGCAAAATTCTTCGACGTTTTTATCGCACGAAGGCCACCATACAAATGATCTAGTTAATGATTTACTCTTAACTATTCCCATGTGTGTCGAATGTATCTCTTTTAAAACTTCTTTCCTGCAACGTGATGGTATGATTAACCGATGTCCCCACATCAATAGGTTATCTTCTATTGTAATTTGGTCTCGCCTAATATAATAAGGTTTCAGTTCCTCTTCTTTGCAGTCACTTGGCCAACCTTGTGACGCAAATTCGAATACCTTTCGCAATATTTCGTCGTTCCTAGTTTCCTCTTGAATAACTTTCTTATCAAGCCGAAAAATATCTTGTTTTTCTATTAAATTTAAGTAGGTAAAGTTTTCGTCGTCGTCGTCCAAGTAATTTTTCATCTCGGTTTGATTGTCTTCAATCAATCTAGATAAACAATCTGCTACATTTTTATCCGATTTAACGTATTCAATGGTGTAATCAAACGCTGACAAAAATACAGCATATCGTTGTAAACGGTTTGCTGCCATTATCGGAATACCTTTCTTTGGCCCAAAAATCGACAAAAGAGGTTTATGATCGGTGACTAATACAAAATGACGACCATACAGGTACTGCGTAAATTTTGATACACCAAAAATTATGCTATAAGCTTCTTTATCTATTTGAGAATAAGCCCTCTGAGTGGTTGTCAAAATTTTAGACGCAAAAGCTATTGGCCTTTCTTTTCCATTTTCGTAACGGTGTGTCAAAATTGCACCCACTGCGGTTGAAGAAGCGTCCACTGTCAACTTTACAGGAACTGCAGAGTCGTAGTGTGCTAATACATGTTTAGAAGATATCGTTTTCTTCAAAGTCTCAAATGCTTGATCGCAGGTTTTATTCCAAATCCAAGAACTTTCGTCTTTTAACAACCTATAAAGTGGTTCACACATACTGGCAAAATTTGGAATAAAAGCACGATAATAATTAAACATTCCTAATACTGACTTTAATTCCGATTTATTTCTAGGAGGTATAGCTTTTAGTAATGCATCTACCTTTTCAGTAGAAGGTCTGAGCCCTTCTTCATCTATTACAAACCCTAAGTAATTAACAGATTTTTGAAAAAAATTGCATTTTTCTCTTCGCACTGTTAATCCATACTTCTCTAATTTATTAAGCACCAAATCTATTCTAAGAAGATGTTCTTCCTTATTTCTTCCCGCGATTAAGATATCGTCAAGGAAACACGTAACGCCTTCCAACCCAATTAAAACTTTCTCCATTATTAATTGAAAAATGGATGGAGCTGTTTTAATTCCATACGGCATTCGGTTATACGCAAATAAACCCAAGTGTGTACTTATGGTTGATAACGATTTGGCCTGTTCGCTTAATAAAATTTGTTGATAAGCCGAACTTAAATCAATTTTGGTAAAATATTTACCACCCGCTAATTTGGAAAATAAGTCCTCGATTCTGGGTAGAGGGTAGCTCACATTTTTCAAATATGGATTTAGTGTGATTTTATAATCACCACATATTCGGACAGATCCATCTCTCTTCAATACCGGGACGATAGGTGTTCCCCATTCGCTCATGACTATTGGAGATAGGACGTTTTCAGACACTAGCCTATTAATTTCGCGTTCCACCTTTTCTTTTAACGAGAAGGGAAGTGGACGGGGTTTAAAAAATTTGGGTTCAGTCCCTATTTTAAGTTTTAAATCGACCACTGCTTCCGTAAAAGTGCGTAATTTATTATTAAATACTTGAGGGTATTTATAAATTAGTTTCTCCACGTCGCCGCCAAACAGGTTCACATTATTAATTACTTTAAAATTTTGCTGATTTTTACAAAACCAATCACGTCCCAAAATTGGTGGTCCACCATACTTAATTACAAAAATATTTATTGGATGCCTATTGTTTGAGCATGTGATTGTCATTGACGCGACACCTAGTGGAGTAGGTAATAATTTCACCACTGTAACCTTTTAATTTAATTTTCGTTCTTTCCAAAATTTCGTCTGGAAAAAGTGTATCAAATAAAAACTCGTTCATTGCAGATACCGCGGAACCCGTATCCAGTTCAAATTGCAAATACACATTATTTAAACACGCATCAACTAAAATTGGTTCGCCACTCTCTGTGTCTTTAATAGTGCGAATGGGTAACAAAAATTGATTGTTAATGTCTAAACTGTACAATGTGTCCAGGTCATCGTCTACGTCCACAAAATGAGAGTTTGCGGTTTTCCGTGGTTGAATGTTTTTGTTGGCGCAAACACTCTGTAAGTGTCCTTTTCTACCACATTTGTGGCAATGATAGTTTTTGTAATTACACGCTGTAGATGCATGTGAATTTTTCCCACATACTCTACACTTAGTGTTTACGTCTTTGTCCCAATTACTAAATTTAGACTTCTTACCTTGCTGGTTGTTGAAACGTTTACCTTTCCCTACCAGATGTACGTCCAAAGGCTCTGGTTTTACGGCCGTCTCACTTTTTCGAGAAGTTGATGCTGCTCCGGGGTTTTGGTTATTGACACGTCGGTAGAAAAAATCCGCTTGATCATTGGCTATTTGATGTGATCTAGTGGCTTCTAGTGTTTCGTACGTCTTCGCCTGTTTCTCCGCTTCTTGAAACGTAACACTTTCCTCGCTTAGAAACAATTTGTCTTTAATTTTCCCGTCATTATAACCGATAATAAATTTATCACGTAAAATCATGTTTAAAGAATTACCGAAGTTACAATACGTTGCTAATCTACGAACACGCGCTGCCCAATCACTACACAATTCATGTTTTTCCTTACGCGCCCCGTAAAATTGTTCCTTTTCCGCGAATATTGCACGTTTTGGATTAAAATGGTTATTGAATAACTCCACTAAACTATCGAAATCTTTTTCTTCCGGTTTATCCGGCATGCAAAGATCCAACATTAAAGAAAACGCGTTATCACTTAACGCATTTAAAAATAAAGCACGTTGTTTATCGGCCTTATCGATATTATTGGCAGAATAATATTGTTTCATTTTACGCACAAAAAGGTCCCATTGATGAACGTTTGGGTCAAATTCGTGTAAATTGCCGTGCACGTTTTCAACTTTAACCGGATTTAATGCCATTTTAATTCACAATTTTCCACTGTTCCAATCACTAATCAAGACACTCGTCGCCACTGTTTTGTATTTAGATATCCTGGATATATACACATATAACGGAAGGATACTGAAATACATTTATTGCAAAACTATTACATTATACAAACGCGTGAGCTCTTTGACTTGCATTACGCGACTGGTGCAAGTCTGCTATGAGATAACAATTTCCCAAATACATATCA